GCTGTGGTCTGCAAAAGAGGCATTGAGTGGCAATCATGTTCGGTCTATAGTCTACTTTCAGCATGCATCTCTCATCCTGGGAGGATCCTCCCAAAACCCTTTACTTGGTGTTCCCTTCTCTATCTGAACTGCCTTTTCCCCTAGCATGTGCGGCTGGCCTCCAAGCCATGGAGTGAAGCTCCTGGTACTTATCTTGGCTATTCTTGGGTGTTAGTCTTCTATTTTGTTACTTTATATTGCCCAGATGAATGCAATCTTTCTATATCTGTCCCTCTCTTTCTGACTCATTTCACTTAGCATGATACTTTCCATGTAGTACCACTTGTATGTAAATTTCATTACTTCATCTTTTCTAACAGCTGCATAGTACTCCATTGTGTAGATGTACCAAAGTTTCTTTAACCAGTCATCTGTTCTCAGGCACTCGGGTTTTTTTCCCCCAGATTTTGGCTATTGTGAACAGTGCAGCAATGAACATAGAAGTGCAGATGTCATTTGGACTGTACTTTTTTGCCTATCTGGGGTATATTCCCAGGATTGGTATTGCTGGGTCAAATGGGAGCTCAATTTCAAATTTTTTGAGAATCGGCCATACTGTTTTCCAAAAGGGCCAAACCAGTCGGCATTCCCACCAGCAGTGAAGGAGGGTACCTTTCCTGCCACACCCGCGCCAACACCGGTTGCTTTAGTTCTTTTGGATGTGGGCCAGTCTCTGTATTGCCATTTTGACAATGTTAATTCTCCCGATCCACGAGCAGGGGATATCTTTCCATTTTCTCATGTCCTCTTTCATTTCCTGAAGTAGCATTTTGTAGTTTTCTTTGTACAGATCTTTTACTTCCTTAGTTAAGTTGATTCCTAGGTACTTGATTTTCTGGGGCACAATTGTGAATGGAATTGTTTTTTTTTTTTGGTGTCACTTTCTTCTCTCTCATTATTTGCATATAGGAAAACAAACAACTTTTGAGTATATAGTTTTGCTTATTGATTTTGAGTAAGAAAACAATCTATAAATCAAGAGCGATCTATAGATTATCTTTGAAACCATACAAAAATGAGAATATTAGAGAATGACATAAAAAAATGACTAGATGTGGGCATTTCCCTATCGATTTTCACCGACCATTTTAGAGATGGCTTTCTGGAATCTTTCCTCTTTGTGTGTCCCAGCACCCAAATGGGCAGGGACTCCAGCAGCAGCTCAGTGTCTAATGTTCAAATGAAAACGTTCAACTGGGGCCTGGAGGGATGGTACAGTTGGTAGGTCGTTCGCCTTGCATGCCACAGGTCTGGGTTCTATCCTCAGCATCCCTACAACCCTGCAGCATTGCCAGGAGTAACTCCTGAGTGCAGAGTCAGGAGTATGGTGTGGCCCCAAAACAAAACAAAACAACAACAAAAACAGAAAAGAAACAAAGGGAAAAAAAATTCAGATATGCGACTATTTCTCTTTTTTCTTTCCTTTTTTGGCTTTTTGAGTCTCAAAAGTAAAGGCCCTCCCGTTGATCATCGATTTGCTCGAGCGGGCCCAGTAACGTCTCCATTGGAGACTTTGTTGTTACTGTGTTTGGCATCTCGAATACGTCACGGGGGGCTTGCCAGGCTCTGCCGTGCGGGCGAGATACTCTCGGTAGCTTGCCGGGCTCTCCGAGAGGGGCGGAGGAATCGAACTCGGGTCGGCCATGTTGGCTGCGTGCAAGGCAGACGCCCTACCGCTGTGCTATCGCTCCAGCTCAGGATGGGTTACTCCTGGTTTAGCCTCCACTCAGGGATTATTTCTCACGGTGCTTGGGGAACCATATGGGCTGCCGGAGATCTAACCCTGGTCAGCCAGATGCAAAGCAAATGCCCTACCGCTGTGCTATTGCTCGGACTGGGATCTATTTGTATTCAAGGCCGTCTCCCTGGTCCAAGATTTTGCATGTTACAGTGCAAAAGTGAAGGTCCTGCGACCATCTTCTGCTGAGGTCACTTTAGAGAGATGTGGACTCATCTGTTCTTGTTTTCCCTTTTAGCTTTCCTTACTCCTTATAAGATCTTTCTTTTCCTTATCTTTGCTCCCTCTCTCTTCCCTTGCTGTCGGTTGCACATGGGCCTGGCTGCGGTACTTCACTTTTCGCTGTGGAGTTTGTTGGAATTTACAGCTCAGCTGGCAGTGCTCACGTGCTGATGTGTGCTCGCACACTGGGCCCCCAACCCATCCGCACCCCTCACGGCGTACAGCACTGGGCGCTCACTCGTCACTGGAGGCTCATCAGTTGTGGGTGTGGGTGGTGTCCACCAGGGGTCCCTGCGGGGCTCACACGTGCTTGCCAGGGGTCGCACTTCCTAGCCCTGTGCCTTGCACATCATTTCCGTTGTGGTGCCCACCCGGGGTTGAACCCTTTTTGGTGAGACACACTTCTGACTGTGGTGGTACGGGGGGCACTGCAGACAGCAGAGCTGCCAGGCTTGTACGTGGCGCATATGGGACACCAGCACTGTGACCACATATTCGTGTCAGGCATATTCCTCAGGGCGTCTTGGGTGTGACCTGTTTGTGTAGAACACTTCCCCGAAGTGGGCTACCTTGCCCCTAGTGGGGCTGGGGGGCACAGCCTCAGTGTCATGAGGGGGTGCTTTCTGATGCATAAAGCAAGATTTCCTGGGTTGCAGGGTAATCATCTGTCTGAAAAGGTCAAATGAGCTTGGGACTCTCTAATTTAGAAAACAGTGTGACTCCGTGGGCTGGAGCGATAGCACAGTGGTAGGGCGTTTGCCTTGTGTGCAGCTGGCCGCCTGAGCTGGGTTCGATTCTTCTGCCCCTCTCGGAGAGCCTGGCAAGCTACAGAGAGTATCTCGCCCACATGGCAAAGCTAGACAAGCTACCCGCGACATATTCGATATGCCAAACACAGTAACAACAAGTCTCACGATGGAGTCGTTACTGGGCCCGCTCAAGCAAATTGATGAACAATGGGAGGACAGTGGTGCAGTGACTCCGTAGTCTAAACACCCCGTGGTGCAGCGGGAGAGGGCCACCGCAGAGGGAGCTTAGCCCAGCAATGCGGGGTTTCCTGTCCAGCCAGGAGCATCCTATGCAGTCGTCAGCCGGGGTTTCCTGGGGCCACTCACCAGGCTGAGGATGGAGCTCAGGACCCTGAATGCTCTGTCCTCCAGCCCTATCCTTGGCCCCTCAACTCCCCTTCATTCCCAGGACTCTGACCTGGGCATGAGGACCACAGACAACAGAAAGCAATGCTTCTGCACAGGATGTGTCACGGAAGGATGGGTGTGAAATGCACTTCTGTTTTTCATGCCAGAGATCAAACCCAGGGCCTGACACAAACAAAGCAAAGGCCCTACCACTCACCACTCACCATAAGAGGGGGACAGGCGTGATGAGTGTGGTGTTGGAATTATATGTATGAGAAACCACTGTGAGCAGTATTGTAAGTCACAGAATGCCAACTAAAACATATATAGCACGGTAGCACTGCACTGTCCTCCCGTTGTTCATCGGTTTGCTTGAGCGGGACCGGTAATGTCTCCACTGTGAGACTTGTTACTGTATTTGGCATATCCAACACGTCACGGGGAGCTTGCCAGGCTTTGCCGTGCAGGCGAGATACTCTTAGTAGCTTGCCGGACTCTCCAAGAGGGGCGGAAGAATCGAACCCGGGTCTACCGCGTGCAAGACAAACGCCCTACCGCTGGAGAAACCCTGGGTTTGATTCCTCTGCCCCTCTCGGAGAGCCCAGCAAGCTACTGAGAGTATCTCGCCCGCTCAGCAGAGCCTGGCAAGCTCCCGTCACATATTCGATATGTCAAACACAGTAACAAGAAGTCTCACAAGGGAGCCGTTACTGGACCCACTGGAGCAAAATATATATAAAGAAAAAAATATATGTACAAAAGGCAAGTCAGGGAGGTCAGTATAGGGAAGTCAGGAAGGGCTCCAGAAAATTGGGTTTTACAGGGCCGTGCTTGGAGCCCAGGGAAGAGAGGACAGTCCAGCTGGACCCCAGGAGCAAAGGCAGAGAGAGAGATGGGAATGGACCGGTACATTCCGAGCTAGGGGAGAGTTGGTTAGGTGCGGCCAGGGCAGGGGCAGTTGCATTTGCGTTTTTAAGATCCCTTTCTCTGCTCAGTGGGGTACTGGAGACTGGAAGCAGGGGAGGTGCTGGCTGCCTGGCCAGGCATGATTACACACAAAGGCGAGCAACCTTTGGGCTTGGAAGCCACAGCCAAGTGGGCCAACTGGTTTAGTGCTCAGGGTGCATTCTTTTTGGGGCCCAAAAACCCACACCCCCCCCCACCCCACAGTATTGGATTGCTTTTTCCCTTTGCTCTCAACAGATCCTTACACCTTTCAAATCACTCCATTTCTTGGGGTCTTGGAGAGGGGGAGCGCTTCGACGGCTCTGCTTGGGGTCCCGCTCCGAGGAGGCCCCTGAGCCAAGAATGCACCGAGACGCATCTCCGCGCAGGTCCCAGCAAGCAAGGGCTCGATCTCGAGCTTCACCCCACCCCCGCCCCAATTAAATCACCCCCCCCGCCCCCATCCCCGCCGCGCACACAGGCTAAGACACATCCTGAGCGGGAGTAGAAACCCCAAGCCCGCAGCCTCCGGCGGGTCCCGGCGGGCAGGCGGCCCAGGGCCGGGTCACGCCCCTTCCCGGGGAAGCGGGGGGGGGCGGGGGGGGAGGGGCGGGGCAGCGCGGCGGCGGGGCGGGGCGAGCGGGGCTCCGTGGGCGTGGCCTCCACGGTGACGCCAGGGCCCCGCCCCGGGGGCGTGGCTGGCGGCGGGCGAGCGGGCGCCGTGGGCGTGGCCTCCACGGTGCCGTCAGGGCCCCGCCCCGGGGGCGTGGCCGGCGGCGGGCGAGCGGGGCGCCGTGGGCGTGGCCTCCACGGTGACGCCTGGGCCCCGCCCCGGGGGCGTGGCTGGCGGCGGGCGAGCGGGGCGCCGTGGGCGTGGCCTCCATGGTGACGTCAGGGCCCCGCCCCGGGGGCGTGGCCGGCGGCGGGCGCGCGGCAGGTCCCGCGCCGGCCCGGGCCCCGCAGAGCCCAGCTCAGCCGGCCCAGCGCTCGGGCGGCCGCGCGCACCATGGCTCCGGCGGGGGATCGCGAGGGCTACTGGGGCCCCCCCACCTCCACGCTGGAGTGGTGCGAGGAGAACTACGCGGTGACCCCTTACATCGCCGAGTTCTGTGAGTGGCGGCGGGAGGGAGCGGGGGACCTGGCCGGGGGCCGTGGCCGAGGGGCGGCGTCCGGGGGCCAGGCTGCGGGACGGCGGGGGTCCCCGCCCTGGGCACCTGCGGGGCACCTGCGGGGCCGCGCCGCGCCGGGGGTGGGGGGCTTCCCCTGCGCGGGGTGTGGGGGGAGCCGAAGGGGCGCCGGGCACCGCTCCGAGGGAGGGCACCGGGAAGGGCGCCCTTGCCAGCCCGCTTCCCCCCGCAGGTGGACCGCAGGGCTTTCCCTTCCTCGTCACCCCGCTCGGTCACCTTCAGGGGACGCTTTTTCCAGGCTCGCATCCCGGTCCACCCCCACCCCGCCCGGGTCCGTCCCGGGCACCTTCGTCGTCGGCCCTCGGGGGCCAGTCCCGCTGGCCCTCGCCGCGGCCGGGACGCACCGTGGCACAGGCTCCGGGGCACACGGGACCCGGTGCCGCCCGCTCGGACTGAGAGGCTAGGGGGTCAGTCGGGGACACCGTGGCCAGCTCATCGATGGCCCCTTCGGAGGAGCTGGGGGCTCCGCGGCCCTCCAGCTGCTCTGCGGACCCACCAAAGGACCCCTCTGTGCCCGTATCCCCGCTGCATGTTCTTTCTGCCGGGTTAGGGGAGAACAGGAAAAGGGAAAAAACAACCCAAAAAACCAAACAACCAAACTCTGCCGCCTCTTTTTCTGTTTTTAGCTTTGGTCAAGTTTAGAGACCGCAGGGTTTGATCCTTCCTAGGGTACCTGTTTCTGGAGAGCAGTTGGGGGCTGCTCCTGCCGCCTTTTAACTGGACTCACTGGCTAGGGCCTGGACCTCAGCTCTGAGTTCACGTCCCATTGTTGGGTCCTTCCAACGTGGCTTTGGCTTCAGAGGGAAGAGGTAAGCGTTTCAGGCCGGCTCATCCTTCTTCCCTCCGGCTTAGGAGTTGGTGAAGTTTCTTTTTTCTGAAACAAGAAAAACTTTCTGCAGTTTGCAGGACTTCAGCATCGTTTCCCTGAAACAGTGATTTAGGCCAACACTTTTCCTGAACTACCGAGTTCAAGTAAAAAAAAAAAAATTTACATAATAATGGAAGAATGTTCGCAGAGGGATCATCCGTAGTGTAATTACTTGGCAACCTGAAAGTTGGCAAAGGAAGCCCTTTACCAATGTGTCCTGGAACTCTTTGGCAAGCCCACGCTGATCCTGGGGCAGTGCATGAGGAGAAGAAGGACTTAAAACCAGGCTTTTGGAACTGGTAACGTGTAACATGGAAAAAAAACCGAGCTCAAATGGCTTCCAATATTGGATGTGCTATGATATTGAGCAAGTAAGCCTTCTCTACAAGGTTTTTCTTTATTTTTCTAGAACATGGAATTAGAGACTGTAGGGAAGATTTTGCTTTCACACAAGTAAACTTTCTAATTACAGACGTAGAGTTGTGGAATGAAGGAGCAGAATCCATCGCTCAACCAACTCATGAAGACTGTAGAGAGAATTCATTGTTTACTAGAGAGATGGGGTTGGCTTGAATTGTTAAAGTTCACTGCAGGGAGCTAGAGTGACAATACACTGGGTAGGGTGCTTGCCTGGCATGCAGTCGACCCAGGTTTGACCCCCCCAGCATTCCATATACCCCTCACCCCACCCCAAGTTCCACCAGGAGTGATTCCTGAGTGCAGAGCCAGGAGAACCCCCTGAGCATTGCCCAGTGTGGCCCCCAAACACACGAAAACAAACAAGTCCATTGCAGCTTTATGGATGCCTGGAAGTAATGGCATCTGTTAGTTCAGAACCCAGGATTGCCATCACTGGAGAACTGACAGTTAAGTCATGTGAGCTGTGAGGAAGCAAGATACCAGTGATCTGTCAGATAGCTCTGAGAAATGGGAAATGCCTTAGCTCTTAATGTCCTCAAAAGAGGAAACAGTCAGCGGACTGCATGTGGGGAGGGTTTTGACATAGGGATCTGGGGTTGCAAGAAGACAAGTGAGTCTTGACAGCCCTGTGCACACGTATCTTGAGGAGGATCATCTGCAGGAAGTTGAGGTCAAGTCTTCCTATCCGGCAAGTGGTGGATATTTCCCATATCATGTAGTAAGAGAAATTGGATTTTTTATGCTTATTACTTATTTAAAAAATTGCAACTTTATGATCTTTATAGTATTTGAATTATTGATAGAAATATTAAGGATGAAAACATGATAGCTGCGTATCTCACCTCTGTATCATAATTCCAAGAAGAAGACATTGTTATTCTTATTATGAGGATTAGGAATTGAAAGCCTTAAAGGTGACATATTTAAGGTTGTGGGAATTGGGTAGAATAGTCCAACTGGGATCTGGCTGTAAAGCCAACTATACTATATTCTTTTAAAATACTATATTCCTTTTTTTTTAAAAAAATCACATTAGTTAGTGTTTGGACTCTGTGTGCAAGAGATTAGAACAAGCACGAAATAAAGGACAAATGGAACAAGTATTCTAGAGTTTGGATGTTTAGGGTGATGAGAAAATGAGTTCAGGGCTGGAGCGATAGCAGAGAGGTAGGGCGTTCGCCTTACAAGCGACCAATATGGCCAACCAGAGTTTGATTCCTCCACCCCTCTCGGAGAGCCCGGCAAGCTACCAAGAGTATCCCGCCCACACTGCAGAGCCTGGCAAGCTCTCCGTGATGTACTTGATATGCCAAACACAGTAACAACAGGTCTCACGATGGAGATGTTACCGGGCCCGCTCGAGCAAATCGATGAACAACGGGAGGACAGTGGGACGGTGGTGGGAAAATGAGTTTAGGGGAATTGTGTGTTCAGATGTGTCCGTGGTTCTCAGTCACTGACAAACCTCGAAAAAGATTTTCAGCATCACTTCAAATTCATGTTTTCCCATTTATTTGAGTCAGTTGTAAGTACTCTGGGAAAGGTTCTTTAATGAGTCATATTTATAGGTACAGGCAGTTCTGGCTCTGTACAGAAGGCCAGAAATACAAGTGGCCCCGCAGGTTAAAACCTGGTAAACTGATCTTCATAACAAGTAAGAGAAAGTTAGGATTGTTTTGTGACTGTTAAACATTTAATGAAAATATATGTCTTCCTTGTTTATTTAGTTATTTATTTATTTTGTTTTGGGGCCACTCCTGGTAGTGGGTAGGAGTAACTCCTGGCTCTGCACTCATGAATTTCTCCTGGCGGGCTCAGGGGATCTTATGGGATGCTGGGTTGACTGAGTAAAGGGCAAATGCCTTACCCGTTGTACTATCTCTCTGGCCTCTGGTCCTCTTGCTGTTGGCTATATATTCATAGAAAAAGGAAGAAACTAGTAAAGCAGATATTTAGCACGTTCACTTAAGACTTTAAAAGCATTGTGAATTGAATTTTTTTTTTTTGTAAAGCAACCTACCAAGAGTAGTTGAACTACTTGCCTTCTTATCCTCTAACTTTGGAGGTGGGATGTGTATATTTTTCTATGCTTTGGTGGGTGACACGTTGTTCTCCTAAGAATGGATCAGTCATCAGCATTTCATTCTTTGAACTTTCAATATTGTGAAATATCACTGACAGTTCCTTTAATGGAGTTTTCCATCACTCCAATCCCCTCCACCCCCCCCGGCCCCCCCACATCACTTCTGGTCCATCTTCATCCTTTTCTCATAACCACTTTTTTTGAGGGTGGGGGATGGGGAGCACATACTTGGCAGTGCTCAAGGCTGCTCAGGGCTTACTCTTGCCTTATTGCTCAGGGATCACTCCTGGAGGTGGTCAGGGAACTGTTTGTGGTACTGGCGATGGAACCAGGGTCTGTCCTGTGCAAGGCAGATGCCCCATGAGTTGTATTGTCTGTCCGGCCCTTTCATAGCCATTGAAAGCCGTTTTTTCATTTATGTTGATGAGTTTACTGAGATCCTCTGGCTACACACAGGAGTGTCTGATGGCCCAAGACTTAGCATTCTCATTAGCCATTTCTCCTATCACTCCATTTTTCAAAAAAAATCTTGAATTAGATTTTTCACCTCCAGTATGCCTCTTTTTGTTTCTTTACTGCACTTTCATCACTGTAGGCCTGTTGATGCTTTTGCATATTCATTTTTGTAAAGTGTTACATATCTTTAGGACCAGAAAAAAAAAGAGACTACTCAGGTACACTCTGCTCTCTGCATGCCAACTGAATAATGGGACTGGGATGGCTGGTCACCACCAGCCTTTGCCTTAAGGTTCATCCATAGTCAGACATTTAAGCAGAGTTATTTTTCTGTCCATATTTGAAGATATTATCCATTGCCATGTGACTTTTTTCACTGTTGATAAGAAGTTTGCTAACAAATTGTTTTACCTTTGAGGTGATTTTGTCAGATCCAACAGACTTTGAAAACAGTGACTGAAGTTAATATGTGGTTGTTGATATGCTTCTGTTATTGACATAGTTGTGAAACTGAAGGTGTAGTATTCAAATTCACACACTCTGGAGAGCCGGAGCAATAGTACAGCGGGTCGGGCACTTGCCCTGCTCTTGGCTGGTGTGGTCCCTGGCATCTCATATGGTTCCCGAGTGAGCCAGGAGTGAGCCCTGAGCACAGCTGGATGTGAACCCAATACTAAAAAAAAATAAAATGAAAGTTGCATTCTTACCTAGTTACTGTACTCAGGGATTGGTATTACTTAGCTGAACTCTGGTACCTGAGATATGTGAATATTTGACTTCTGCAAGGCGAACATTTCTTGTATATTTCTAATTCTCACAACATTCCTAATAATAAGGTGGTTTTAACGTCTTTGTATAGATGAGGAAACTAAGTCTTAATAAATGAAACAGACTCAGCTCTTACAGCTTGTAAGTGAAGGAGCTAGTTTTCAGAGGTAGGTCTGACAACTCTATACTGACGTCATTGTAGGAAGTAGGATTTTAGGTGCTGTGGTTTCTGAAAGAAATATTAGCTAAATGAAAGTGAAAGGCAGTCCTGTGCTTTGTGGCCTTGGGAAAATGACCAACTCAGAAATCATTTGAAGTTGGGACCAG